CACACACAATTACAATTGAGCATTTTTAAACAGCTGGATCACAGAAATGATATTTTAAAGGGGGGGGGGGTATCGCCAAAAAATCGGATATTTTGGCTTTTCCGCTTTTTATGCTCATCTTAAAGCTTATATTCTGCCGCGTAACGTTACCAAAAGCATCTCTGTACGTTGATTTATGCGTTTACGGCAGATCGCGAAAGAGTTACCCCGCGTGAACTCTTTAACAAATACCTGCTTAAGGAAATTCGAGCCAGGCACATACAATGTATTAGTGGTTCTCTCTCAGCCTCGGGCTTCAGTTATACCCGAGCTGTCATGGGGAGTGTGTTCATGCCGTCGTTCTCTGCATCGATGACTCGCTTCAGAGTGAACTAGCACGTAACTTGAGTATCTTGGCTACGAGAAATATCTTTATATAGCGCGCTCCGCCAGAGGGGGTTTTTCGGCTGTCCTGAAAACCTCCAACCGCTCTCGCTGCAAACCTATCTCCTTCAGTTTTCAAGCTACAGCATTGAAAGATATACCATTCGATTCGTAAAGACCATACCTATCGAATAACGAAGCCATTTTTTTAGATTAGTGCATAGTTTGGATTGAAAATGGGGGAAGGGGGGAAAATCAGAAGAAAATGAGAAGAAAACGGGAAAATGCATGTAAAAAAACTAAGGCAAAAATAAAAAATCGGGCTGGGTTACTCGATCGGTATGGTCTTTACGAGTCGTATGATACATGTCTCATCGCTGTAGCTTGAAAACTGTAGGAGGAGGTAGATTTTTAAAGTACCCCCTTTTTGTCCGTTCTCTATGTAAGTACCCCCTTTGTCCGTATTCCTCTTAAGTCAGATTAACAAAAAGTCTAAATAATCATGTGGAAAGACGAAGTTTCATTCCAAGTTGGCTCTTATAGGTACGAAAGTTTCTTTAAAAACAAATAATTTTAATCAAATAGATAGAAATTTTCCACAAGAGAACAGCCTACCACCACCAGGTAATTTTACTTACAGGCTCGGTATTTTGATCGCGTCTCGTCGTTTTTAGTCAGTTGTCGCATCACGACTGAATTTTCCTTACATTTCCGTCAATTCTTAGGAAACGATGATGGAAGAAAGTAATGGCTCAGTGCGACTGAGGATGAGAGAATCGAAATACGAGAAAATGATCGAAATTATTATTGTATTCCTACAATAATTACAAGAAAGCCATTACGAAAAGAGGAGGTTCAGGTTCAGGTTCAACACAGCAGCAAACCATGGAGAATAACAGTCTTCCGTGCACGAAAGAAGCAACTGGCGACCAGAAATATGATTACATGAACGTTACTATATGATTTTACTACGATGAATCGGTGTATTATTCCCATTCAACGTTCAGTCTCAGTGACGAATTAATTTATGGTCGACATTCTGTTATGATGGAAAATTTACAAATTTACTGATCGAGCTTTGAAATATTAAGGAGGATCTGCATGCTATGTGCAATAATTGCGATGGTTCATTTTTGATTGTGGTAACCTGAACTTAGGTGTGTATTGATGTCTCACTAAGTCTCATTTTTGTAGTCAAATAATTTTGTAGATAAACATGGTTAATTAATTATTAAGTAAAATTCCTAGGATATATAGAGCTTACCATCCAAGCTTCTTTGTTTTAAGATTTTTTTCAGTACAAACAAATTTTGGGGATTCTTTCCTTAATGAGAATCTCCCTGTAAAAAAATATTATTTAAAATTAAATGCGTAATAAAGAAAGATTTATTGAAACCAGTACTCAGGATTCATTCTTCATTGATGATACTTCTTTCAAAAATAGTAGGTTTTCAAGATAAGATGTTTGAGGAAATTTTTGTTAAAGAAGTAAAAATATACTGTTCAAAGTGTAACGAAACTTCTTGTATTGCAAGTATATATTTATAATACTGAAATAATTTTAATGTTATTGCCGTTGAGAGTTGTTGATATCGAAGTAAATTTGCTTTAATTTGTGATTTTGAGGTTAAATTTGTCGAAACTAGCGCTGCTCTTGGTTTCTGCCATCTATACAACGAGCATTTCGTCAAATCTAATCGAAACTCAGTAAAAAAATGAACGCTTCCGTTTTTAGTAATCATCGATCCCTGATAAGAGAATGATAAGAAGCTTGAAATTTCAGAGAACAGGGATTATTGTTTATTGTTTTAAAATAATAAATCTCCATAAATTCGCATCAACGATGTTGTAATTCATGTGCGTTCAATAGCTTACATCTACTTACGTGTTAAGGCACGCAATTCTTGATTAATTAGTTGATTAATTTAGAATTAAGAATTAAAATTCAGAAAATTGGAGGTTGATCTGAATAACTTTGTTTGCGTTGAGAAGCAAGATTAGTGGGTATTGATTAATTAATTAAAAATGTCCAAATAATTTTTTTTTCAATGTCACAATACTATATTTCGATTGGCGTTTTCAACTTTTTCCGGCGTTCAATAATTAAAATTTTTATGATATTTTACTCTTTAGCTGTATTATCTGTTGAAAAATTTCCCATGAATGCAATTTCCACATGATTAATTTTAATTATTCAACTGCTTCAATGACGCTCGGTTTTGGGTTTAGTTTTCGACAAGGTCAACTGTTTACCGGAATTAGTAACCTATTGCATGCCTCACGTTTATTCCTTTGTAAAGAGAAGACTGTATCCTAGTTTTCTTCCTCTTTGCTTATTTTCATGCCCTTTTTCGATCGATTCGTGAAGCCTTTGAAATGTCTTGCGAGTGTTGGTGTTGCTTCTGTTGTTACGGCCCCAGCTACTGTTATACCTCCTTTCAATTTAGTTACTTGCACACAAGTTCTACTGGCTGTTATACTGGCCATGATTGGGTTCATGTCTTCGTTCGCCTTCCCGTGTCTTGCATTGTTCTTGTCACATCCAAAGCCAGAACTCGGTTGTTTTTGTGTTATTCTCTCATAGTTTTTGATTATGCTACCGTTCTTTGTGAATTATTCCTATATACTGCTATGGCCGATTTCTCGTGCCTCCATCTTTTCTTTAACGTCCATTTTCTCCTGTACTTCTCTGATTATTCTCATGCTTCCGACATGGGTGCAAGTTAATGTTGCTACTCTTGCCATATGACACTTTTGTTGCCGTTGCTGAAGTCTTATGCTTTTGCTGGTGCTGAATTCCATCGTTATTGTTGCTTTTGCTGAAGCCGCGTGCTTTTGCTGCTGAATCCCAAGTCTCTGTTTGCTAATGCTGATGTCATCTATCTGACGCGGCTAGAAAGACGTTTGAGGCAACTGGACGCTTGTTATCTCACTGTAGTTTATTTTTGTGGGCACACTTGTTATGGTTTGCCCCTATAAATCTTGATTTCTACATGAAGTATATTGATGGTTATACAGAATGCTCGTCAAATAAATCTTCTGGGACGAAAAAAGTCTAGTGCAAAGGGAGCACATGTAACCGAATAACCAACGAATAGCAATTTTCCTAACATAATTTAAGTGTTTAACTGGATGCTCTGTTGTATGGGTTGAATATCAATTGAATTAAGCTGTACGGTGTTGCAACTGTTCGTCATCATGTATGAAGTGTCGCATCAGCCGTTTTATGCTGATAACAAGATACGGTATCTCTCGTATCAGAGCACCGCCGAGTTAAAGGATTCGTGAGGCATCTCAACCAGTGTCACTTTATAGTTGGTACCTACTCAGCACGTCGCTCTTCCATTGTAAAAATAACGAAAACATTTGTTGCGAGCATATTGTGTTTGGTTGTCAAATTTAACAATTTTGCCTTATGAACAGTTGACATTACAAAGATGGTATTTGCCAGTACTTAAGTAGTTAAGTTTTTTTTCTAAGAGATAGACAAGTCTGATCGATATCTATCACGACTCTGGTGTCCTTGATTCAACAAGTGCGTGGCAAAGTAATCACTACAGCGAAGAACTCAGTGTAAGTGGTGGAGTGTATGAATTGCTATTCTTCTCGTCTTGCCGACAATGTAAAATGTTTGTTGTTTGAAGAATGACACGTGCTTTGTTAACGAGTGATGTACCGCATTGTTCTCGCTGTATGTGCGCGGAATATATGTACGATGATGTCAACTGGATATTGCATGTCCAAATGTAAAATGACCTGCTGGTTAAACATTAATTCGAAATTCTGCTATTGTGTTCTGTAAAAGAGAATTTTGTTTGTTTCCATCTCAACTTCCTTTTATAATACTTAGGGTAAGCTTAGTAATATAAATTTAAATTTGTCTAATTGTATTTTAGAGACCCAAATTGAATTTTACAGTGTATTTTTTCTGATAATACGAATTACAGTGGAACGAAATCCGGTAATAAAGATATGAATGGATTTTACGATGGTTCTTTATTTCGAAATTTTCATCAATCTTCATTGAAACAAATTTGTTTACTGCATATGTGAATGCTAGGGTCAACATTGCAAATTAGTACAAACTGTGAAATGCAGTTTTCAACCGATAACTATATTGTTTAAATACTCTTGAACACAAATTTTAATTTATGGACCCAAATTATGGTGATTGTTATTGTAAATATTCAGGAATAATAAAGAATTTGTTTTAAATTCCACATTTGTTTCTATTCCTGAGGTTATTATTAATTTGTTCTCACGTTCGTAAAGGTTATTGAAATTTTAGACGAAATTGAACATTGTTAATTTTAGACGAAATTTTTGTGCCGATGAAGCCTTGCCTTAACAGTTCCGTGGAAATGTAAGGAACATATAACAACCATACCATTAATTCATGAGTGGAAGATCATAACGTATAATAACGACCAAACACCTGTTCAAATATGCTGTAAACACAACCATTAAAGTTTAAGTAAAAGTAACGGGTATAAGAAGTATAAGTAAAAGTTTACGGGTATAAGAGTTGAAGAATGTCTTTCAACCATTAAAGTTTAAGTAAAAGTAACGGGTATAAGAAGTTGAAGAATGTCTATGAACATGTTGATGAAGCTGTGCTAACTTAGCGTATTTCACAGAGGCGATGAGTGGCGTGATGTCGGGGGGCGAGCGATGGGAGCCGCGACACGACAAGGGGCGCAGGTAACATTTACTAAATTTTATCTTTTTTACTTACATTTTAAACTATAAGTATATTATTAAATTTTAATTTGATCTTTCTTTAATCTTTATTTATTTAGATTTTAAACTTTTAGTACATGATTACATTTTAATTTAAGCTTTTTTATTTAGATTTTAAACTTTAAGTATATCATTAAATTTTAATTTGATCTTTCTTTAATCTTTATTTATTTACATTTTAAACTTTTAGTGCATGATTACATTTTAATTTAATCTTTATTTATTTAGATTTTAAACTTGAAATACATTATTACATTACATTAATAATAATGTCTAAATTACAGCATATAAATGATATAAATGCCTCATTCAGGTTGCACAGCTTTTTTTTATTCCCAATAGATTTTCCTTGTGTTTTTTTCTCTGATTAAGATATCATATAATATTACGTTATGTACGTTTTCATTTATTCTATAAGAAAGCATTTCACTCATATCGTTTCAAATGGTTATATCTTATGCAGTTTCAATGCGGATGAAAATATGGCTGTATTTTTTGACGCTTAGGCTATAGGCTGAATCTTAGGAGTTGTGATCATTATTTTCATAAGTGATAAGATGTACGTGATTTATAACGCAATTTTTGATGTGCTTATAATCGGGATAAAACTTTAAGCAGCTCCATGATTTTATATCATATTTATTAGTATTTTATCTATTAATTTTATTTAATTACACCAGACCGCCTCGCTACTACCCAGAGGACCAATGGGATGACCACGACGAGTTCGCTGGGTAAGAAACACATTTATTTCTGTGGTAGAGATTTTTTTCATTAATCAAATTTGGAATAAACTCTCTTGTATCCGAATATTGGTACAAAAATCAATGTGAAAATAAACGGGACCAATAAGCGACTGCGTTTGTGGTTTAGGCTACAAAATTATATGGGAAATCAGGTCGAACTGCCACTAAGTAAATGTAATAAAGGCAACACTTAGTTATAGTATTACGCATTATTGTTCAGGCTGTTCAATGTGCCTGTTAAAATATCCTATTTGATTTTATTTTCAACAGAGGACTAAGCACTACAAGGGCATAAGTTAAAATTTCAACATCCCATCTCTCTTGTACTTCAATTAAGTATATTTTAAATATCAACTCAATTTGTGTTAGTAACGAAAGTTTTAATTTACTTTAATAAATCAGTAAACTGAAGAATCTCTTTTATAAATCAGTATGCTGAATAATCTCTTTTATAAATCAGTATGCTGAAGAATCTCTTTTATAAATCAGTAAACTGAAGAATCTCTTTTATTAATCAGTAAACTGAAGAATCTCTTTTATAAATCAGTAAACTGAAGAATCTCTTTTATTAATCAGTAAACTGAAGAATCTCTTTTATAAATCAGTAACCTGAAGAATCTCTTTTATAAATCAGTAGCCTGAAGAATCTTTTATAAATCAGTAAAATGAAGAATCTCTTTTATAAATCAGTAAAATGAAGAATCTCTTTTATAAATCAGTAGCCTGAAGAATCTTTTATAAATCAGTAAAATGAAGAATCTCTTTTATAAATCAGTAAAATGAAGAATCTCTTTTATAAATCAGTAAACTGAAGAATCTCTTTTATAAATCAGTAACCTGAATAATCTAACACGAAAGAATAAATACACCCTATAATGCTGACTGTGTACATAACAGATCTCCGTACCCACACGACGGTGGCCGTGGTCCCTCTCCCTACCGCGGCGACCCGATGCACAACGGCTACGCTTCCGGTGTGTCATATGCAAATATCTTGCCTCAATATACAACTTTATATTGGTTTAGAAATTTGTTGATTAAATATTCAAATTCAATTCGGATTTTCACTGCTGAATTTTCTCGTTTTCTCGAGTTAATTTTTGAACTTATGCTTGTCTTTGAAACGTTTTCATCGAGATATGGTAACTTTAATTGATTTTTGAAAAAGCCTACGAAGCTTGTTAGCTTAAATGGGCATTCGCTAGGAACCTATTCTTAGTTACTAATCATAATTTTATTATTGTTTTGTTATTCTCTTCTACGTGAATAAAGAATTTAGACTCGACTGGTTAAACTCTTACTTGATGAATACAGTCAAGCAGTTAGTAACGTTCTTCATGACTTGTAAAAGTATCATGGATTCATTTAAGTCAGTTTATCATCGAGCATCATTGGTGAAATAAAAGTCTTAAATATCTGCCGCAGCAGAAGTAAGGTAGTAAAAAGCCAACACTATCAATAGACATTGTGTAATGTAGGCATATTTTTCTTCTTGATAAGTCGAATCTGTAATGCTAATTCACAGCTGAAAATTTATTGCAAGGTTTCTCTGAAACTTTTTGAAATATTAATAAACAATTTCCCAATGAACTTTAAGCTTTTATTGTTAAACTTAAGATATTCATTCTAAAGCTCCCAAGGTAACATAAAATTTATTTAAATTACTCGATAACCTTGATATAACATCTACTATATGACCTGAGACTTCAATGTTATTTTAAAGTTCTACTTCGGTTACCTTTTATTTTAGACTTTTCCACGCTTAGTTTCAGAGTTTTCTGTATTTTTCAATTTTTTATTTTGAATCGTTTTGTAAGTTGCCTTCGAGTCTTTACTTAGGTTGGTTGATAGCCTCAGCTTTCACTTCAAAACTTTCATGCTAACTTAAATCCCCCCAGATAATTTTGAATCCTGCTAAGGTTTCAGTTAAGGTTCTGAAGCTAAGAATCCTTATAATAGTTTTACTTAAAAAAATTTGAACGTCACACTTAGTACTGTCTTAGTTAGTACGGTCTTAGTTAGTACTGTCTTAGTAAGTACGGTCTTTGTTAGTACTGTCTTAGTTAGTACTGTCTTAGTACTGTCTTAGTTAGTACTGTCTTAGTTAGTACTGTCTTAGTTAGTACGTTCTAAGTTAGTACGGTCTTAGTTAGTACGTTCTAAGTTAGTACGTTCTAAGTTAGTACGTTCTAAGTTAGTACGTTCTAAGTTAGTACGTTCTAAGTTAGTACGTTCTAAGTTAGTACGTTTTAAGTTTGAATACTTCTAAGGTACCTCATCTGAACGCCCACTTAATACGGTCTTTGTTGGCAGACAAAGGCTCGAGCATCGGGGCCCCGGACACGATCGGCCCGACGTACCTGCTGGAGCATCTGGCCACGTTCCGCGTGGCCAAAGACTCTGACCTGCTGTACCCCGCGGACGGCATGAGGAGGCTGCTGCACATGGAGAAAACTTCAGGCATCTGGACCCAGAAGATGCAGCTCAGGCTTGACAGACATTGGGTCCTCATCCTGTCGCATGAAAACGAGGTCAGGGAATTGCATGCTCAGTTTATGATGCTTGCCATGTAGGTTTGAAGGCATGTGTTGAAGAGTGGCAGAGTCTTTTGTTTAGGTTAGTGTTAAAGAGTGGCAGTCTTTTGTTTAGGTTAGTGTTGAAGAGAAAACGAGGTGAGGGAATTGCATGCTTAGTTTATGATGCCTATCGTGTAGTTTTGAAGGCATGTGTTAAAGAGTGGCAGAGTCATTGGTGTTATTATTCAGTCAGCATTGCTCAGCGGTTGAAACATAAAACTTGGATTTTTTGGGTAAATTTCAAAACTGTCGAAGGGAAAAGATGTTGAACGCAATGAAGTTGTTACCGTACATCATTACTGATATATTATGACCCTGAAGACCCTCATGGGTTAACACTCATGTTAGTTTGTGAATAAACTTGATGATTTTTGGGTTAACATTGTAACGCGTGCAGGATAATGCTGTATCGAGATGCAAACTGATTTTCTTGAATTCGTTGAAGCTATATTTAAATGCTACTCCGCTGGTAGCATGTTAATGGAATTATGCTCGTACGTGAATCATACCAGCTTAGTGTGAATGAAATTTTATAGCGTAAAAGACCCATTCCGCATATCATAAGGCAAACAAGCAGTAGAAAATTCAAAGCGTTAAGTTCCGAAATATTGCACATCAATTTACAATTAACTAGCATGTAATTGGTCTTGATTATGGCCTCTCCGATGTATGGGACAGGTATGTACATTACCAATGGCAGAAATATTTAAAATGACGTCTGAATTAGGAAATGGACCCAAGTCAGGTATATATGCACAATTTTCATACGTGGTTTATTTTCAATCGCTAAATAAAAATGTCGTACTCATTTACCGTGCAGTTTAGTCGTTTTTTTCTGACCGGTTTTGCTCCTCAGGACATCGTGGAGAAGTTCCCCATTGAACTGATCCGCGACCCAACGGCCTTCACGAGCGACGACCCTAAAGAACTTTACAACAACATCTTCATCTTCATTGTGGCAGAGGACCCGAAACTCCACTTCACAACTTCCACTGAGATGCACATCTTCCAGGTATGTCTTGTTAAAAGCTGTACATCACTAACAACAGCTAGCAAAATATGTCAAAATGACGTCGCTTACGAGTTTATGATGCTGGAACGACATTTAGTCAAAGTTATTTCAAAGTCGGATTCCTGGTGGGACCTTATATGTAACCTCCACTGAGATGCACATCTTCCAGGTATGTCTTGTTAAACGCGCAGAGACGTTAGCTTTGATTTAATAAATACACCAGCTTGCAGAAATTTTCGAAATGATGTCGTTTAGAAGTTGATAACGGAACGACGATTAATCAACGTTATTCCAAAGTCGGATACCTGGTGGGACTATAACCTACACTGAGAGGCACGCAAACGTAGTAGTGGTTGTTTACATGGTTGTTGTGGTTGTTTACATGGTAGTAGTGGTTGTTCACATGGTAGTTGTGGACTTGTGGTCGTTTACATGGTAGTTATGGTTTATACAATCGTTTTTTTGTATGTGTGGTTGTTTACATTGTAGTAGTGGTCGTTTACATAGTTGTAGTGGTCGTTTACATGGTTGTAGTGGTTGATATAATTGTTTTCTTGTATGTATGGTTGTTTAACCCACGCTTGCTGCACCTGCAGTGCATCAGGGTGAGCGCGAAGGCGGTGGTGGAGGACATGAAGCTCTGCATGTCGGGGGACTGGCGCGCCCTGAGGGGGGAGCCGCCCCACCGACGCCCCACAAGCAGGGACCGCATCCCCCCACCCCCTCATGAGAAGGCCCCCCAGCCCCCCCTCCATAACGGTTACCGCTCTGACTACATGCACTGTGAGTACACTGCATTATGTGTTATACGTTTACCTGTATGTGATGTGCAACGAAGTGAAGTTAGTTTTGATTAAATAAAACACAAATTGGCTTCAGTTTTGAATATTCGTTGTTGGCTAGCTTGCCAATTTCAGTCAGAATTTCTTCAGCTAGATGCGGGTTTTGATCCCTCAATTCGCTTCTCAAATCTTGGTGATCTTAACCACTAGGCCATCCCGGAGCTTGAAAGAAATTGCAGATGGAGAAGAGTTAAAAAAGAACGCTGTTTTCAATTTGATTTTCATTCCGAAAACTAAAGTAAATTGGTTAATCTGAACGAAAGACGATTAGGACAAATGAACTGTTAAACGCACTGTATTAAACACTGTCACAGTAACGCGCTGTGATTTTCAGTGGATTTTTTCCACAATGCATTCCCTGAAGACAAAGACTGACGTAAACGCATGTTCTTCATCGCCGTTGCTTCTTGAGTTCTGTCTCTATTTTACAGCCTAAGTAATAATCCGCGATAATAATTTCAACGGTTACAGTGCGCAGTTGTTTTTTACAGCCTAAGTAATAATCCGCGATAATAATTTCAACGGTTGCAGCGGTTACGATAATAATTTTAACGGTTTCAACGGTAAAATATTCGTTGCTGTGATGATGCGGTCACTTGCTCTGCTGAACTAAGTTCTGACAACGACACACTTATTAATGCCCGGTCTTGGCTATGTAACAATCCCAAAATCTAAATTTTTGGTATTTTGTATATAATACAATTATTTAACATTTAACATAACATTTATTTATTTAAGTTATTTAAAACAACGCACAAATATTCCCAATGCATTCGCGGCCTTATACCTTCGAGCCACACAAGACAAGCCTGCTTCTTACCAGATTCGGTGCTTTAGTTCTTCGTAGTGTTTAACAGTTGTTATAACCGCGGCATCTTGTCTCTCAAAATCATATGGATCTTAGTATCCCGAATACCATATGAATTATCAACTTGGAAAAATAATCTTCAGCGATATGATTAGTATAAAAATATTCAGTTTTGTACACTATCTCGTCCCTCATTTCACAAATAAGTTTATATTTTTGTGTTGCCGTTTTGCATATTTCCAACTCAATGGTGCAGTGAGTACTCAATACTTCCATTATTGAGTGGTTGATTTCATTCACTTTATGTCTTTTCAGTTCACGCGAAATTTGTTTTCCATCTCAAAATTCAGCCATGCCTGTGGGGGCAAAAACGAGTTTGCCGTTTTTCCTGTCGATTTTTTGTGAATAGTTAATTTATATTTAGAGGTGACGTATCAAACTTCAGGATTAGATATGGTTTACCGACATTATTAAGTCTGGGTGTGAAATAAATTTCTGTTGCTGAAAAGTAAACATCTTTCTACCGCTGAATTTTTTGAACGACAATCGCTGTTTACTGTATGTAAACAGCGTCATATTAACCTCATAGAATTGAAGGGAAAAGTACTGCAATGGATCAGAGATTTTCTAGTAGGTAGACGACAACGTGTCAGTATTAACGGAACCGTGTCAGACTGGGCATCAGTGCGCAGTGGCGTGCCACAAGGAAGCGTCCTGGGGCCTATTTTGTTCGTTGCTTTTATAAACGATCTGCCAGAAGTAGTGTCCAGCGTGTGCTCCATGTATGCCGACGACACAAAAGTTTATAATTCAGTGAAGGATGCGTCAAATAAAGCGCAATTACAAGATGATCTTGACAGCTTAGTTAACTGGGCTGATACGTGGCAGCTGCGGTTTAATGCTGACAAGTGTAAAGTACTTCACCTCGAGAAGAACAATGAACAGCAAGATTACAGTATGAGAAGACATGGTTGCAACGAGAGAGTAATGTTTGAAAAGTCTAGTGTGGAAAAAGATCTCGGAGTTTATGTCGACAAGGAGCTGAAATTTTCTAAGCATGTTGAAACGCAAGCTAACACATCCAACAAACTTCTTGGTCTAATGATAATCAGACGCTCTTACGAGTTCCCAGATGCAGAAGCGATGAAGCAGTTGTCTTTGTTGCTGTCGTGCGCCCGAATCTAGAGTTTGGAAACGCTGTGTGGTCACCGAAATTTGAAAAGGACAAAAATTTAATAGTGTTCAAAGACGTGCAACAAAGATAATTCCAGGCTTGAAGGGCCAGTCTTATGAGGAAAGATTAATTAAAGATTATGAAGCTTCCAAGCCTCAGTTATCGACGTCTGCGTGGGGACCTCATTGAAGCATACTAGTATACTAATGGTTTATACAAGGTCCCCTAAGAATTACTAGAATTTGAAACAAGAACCAACACCATGGCTGTAGACTAAATAAACTGCCCTGCAACTTCTCCACGCGACAAAATTTCTTCTCGCTTCGAATCACCGACATGTGGAACAGCCTCCCTGATTACATCGTTGGCGCTCCAAGTATGAACGAGTTCAAGAACAGACTAGATAAAGCTATGGAAAAATGTATGTTCAGACTTGAAATGCCTAGCACCATATCGAACCCGGTGGAAGTCTAGTAGCTATTCGATCAAAACTATCGTCAGTCCTGAAAAGATCCGGGCAAATGACTCGATTTTAGATCTGTGAACAAGTCACGAAAAGTAAGAATCAGCGACAGGCCACATCAGGCCTGCTCTCCAGCGCCGACATCACTATATGTTATGTTATGTTATGAGCACTCGCATTTCCTCTCGGTTCATCGCTCTCTGGTCATCGCTGGCAATTATGCGATGCACGAAGAAAGTCCAGTCACCATAACACGAATTCACAACAGCAACGTAGCATATTGCGAGATTCATGACAGTTGTCGCGCGGCACAAATAAGTGTTACGTCAAGGGAAATAAAAGCTATCATTTAATTCCCCGGAAGGCGGTGCGTGAAATGCTTAATTGCCGTGGGAAATTTTGTACGTGACTCTCGTTACTTTCAAAATTTGCAGCGTTATTCTTCGGAGCGATTACTCGGCGTTCGAATTTTTCGTTCAAGGCGGCAGCATCTGGAACATTGCATGACTTCATTATTGGTGAAGCTCGTCGTGATAAATCCTTCATGAGTAAACTTTCTCCTGTGAGATCCTATGCTACGAAAAATAGACTCCTACTGCCCATGTTTAAGAAATAATACGCTTATAATCCTGATACTAAGGCGAATTCTGTGTGACTAATCACAAGCAGGCGTAGCGTGCACACGAAAACTTGTTAAGATAATTTCCCTTTAAATCAATCTTCCCTCAAAATTCTTGAACGTCGGCTTGTCAAAAGAAAAAAAGAACATTTCGACCGCAAGTCTTGTGGTGATCGTTAACTGACATTCAACAGCCGAGATTAGTTAAAGCTGTTCAAGGAAACTTTGACCACTTGAGCAGCAAATCTAGTGTTGGCCGGCGAATGTTTTGCGTCATCGTAAGCATTACAGGAAGTGCAGAACATTTCAGGAATGTTAGTGGGTGTCAGTGAATGCTTTTCGTCATTGTCAGCATTACAGGCGGTGTATAACTATTAAAGCCCCGCTTAAGTTCACTTAACGGACGATTTCCCGCCTGTGATAAGTGGGCTTAGCTTTTGCTGACGAAATTACGAACCCTTAACTCTCTTGATATTACGGCCTTGGGGCCATACTTTCAAAACACGCTAAGTGAACGTAAGTACTTACGCTGTATTTTCTTGTCTATGATTGGTGGATTTTGCTTGAAAGGCCGTCAATGATTGGATGATGAACTTGCGAACCCTTAACTCTTTTGACATGAATGCCGCAGGAAAGTTAGTTTGTGCCGGAGAATGGCATTGCAGCGCTAGCTGAGACCGCGGCCCACGGGCATGCGCACGCACTAATGTGGGGTGGTGTTGGTGCTTCACTGGTGTAGTCTTTGCAATTGCATTTGTTTTCTTTAGATGTACTCAAAGAAGTAATAAATAACTACATTTATTTCTTGGTTGTTGGTAGCTCTTTTTGATTTACATTCATAAATTCAGTTTATTTATTTTGATGCCAGTGCAAGCGATACATGTTTTATTAAGTACTTATTTGCAGTATACATGTTTTATTTCGGTATACTTGCAAAATATATTTTACCTGAACGTTTCATTTTGATATCGTTTGAATGCTTAAATGCTAGGCCACAAATTCTATGAGGTTTCGGTTCGTTTAGATTAAAGTTTTTTACATGCTTCATACACAATGAATTTGTTTTATAGCGCATGTAATTTATCAATACCATTTGGGTTGCGTTCCTTTTTCAGCGATTAGAAGTACAATTTAATATCCGCATAGTATTTACTATTACATTCATGGGAAAATAGTTATTAAATTACATGGGAAAATAATTCGCTTTCAGTTAAGTTTTATTTTATTGTCGGCATCCTGATTGCTGAAGTATTCTACTTCTTTGATGTAGAATCATCTTTGAGATGATGATTCTACAGAAGTAGTTACTAACTTCTTTGTGACCAATTGCCACTTGAGAATCCCGTATATAGTAGTCACGTACCACCAGGTACCATCGCACGCGGACCATTCATACTCTTTATTAGAATAATAAATTATTCATTAGCCAAAATTTTTCGTAAAAGGTCACTAACAAGTGTTATGAGTTTACAACCCCTGCCTGAGAGGCCATAAGAGATATTCACATTTAATGAGTGAAGTTCTCAGGGAACCCTTCCCTGATCCAGTGGAAATATCCCTAATATTCAATATGGTGTAATTTGTATTAAAAATTTCCCAATGATTTTCTCGGGAAAATGTTAGTCACTGGAGCTATGGTAAGCGGTGCGCATATTAGGCGCGGTCATGTCAGTGCACAGTGTGCTGTTGTGGAGGTAGCATGGGGCAGCTCCGCAGACAAGGCAAGCGAGAGTACGGTAGGCAACCTCATGGATTATTGTGTTCATGTGTTTTGCATTGAATGTAGTTAGTATTAGTAGTAAATTTCAAAGCCTTTGTTAATAACCGCTATATACTTAGATGTATTTCACTGTAGTCGATTACTTTTTGATTTTTGT